ACACTCTTTCTCTCAATAATTCCAAAGCCTCATGTTAAAAACAAAGAAGACAAAATATATTTTACAGTTACACGACATTTTTTTTTTACATAATCTCCTCTCTTAATTCAGTGGTAAATATTTATCGCATAGATCAAACATTTTACAGTGAAAATTCCAGATCAAAATCCTACTAGTAATTTCGTGTCGAGTATATGTAAATAACTTTCTTAATATATTCAGCAACCGCGTGACAATTCGCAAACGCATATGATCTGTGCATTTATTTTAATTTAATTGATGTGAACATGTGCGTATATGCTGTGTGTGTGTGTGTGTTAAATGTTGTTTCTAAATAATTTATCTTCCTTACGGTGTAGTGTGAAGCAACGTGATTGGAGGAATTATCAATTAGTTTTAATTGACAGATTTATGTGTAGAAACTGTGTCATCAAGGGAAGGGTTTATAAACACTTGTTTGAAACCGAACGAAAAACGTCGACTTTCTATTAAATCACATGGAGTCGTTGAGCATGCAAATATAGACACTAATGCTGTGCTTAGCGCTGATTAACTCCAGCGCGGGATTTTTTTAACTTTTTGTCTTTTTTTTTTTTTTTTTTGTCTATATATATTTTTGTTCATAATTAATTTATTAACGTTAAATTTCCGAAACAAATAGACCTCATCACGAGCAGTCTCTGAAATACCTGTGTATATAGACTTTTTTATGTGCTTTGTGTATAAAAAGAAAGTAATCGTGTAGCATGGACTCTGATGAATATTTCTCTAGCTTTAGCAAGTAGCTATCAAATGAGATACATAGCACAAAGAAAAGTCATTTTTGTCTTGTTAGGTTGGACAGCGACATCATAGATTTTTAAATGATTGTTGACAGAATGTTTTCAGTGTTTGTATCACTGTTAAAAATAGCCCATCAAACTCGTATCTCTATGCTATATTATGGATGGTCTTGTCTGGCTCGCTTTCGTTTTTTTAGCGTTGCATTTTTTTTCTATGTATATATTACTGTATAATACGCAACTTCATAAGCGTGATTAAGCTTGATTTCGGTTTTTATAGACGGGCACTCCTAATAAAAATATTCACATGTACAGAGAAATACACGCGTAAATTGAACGTATTTCGATTTTAATAAATACTAAATGTAAATACATATTGGGGGTCTGGAACACACACAAACACAACTACATTTTCCTCTTCCCCACTCCCAAAAGAAGTGATGCTAAAATGAAGGGGAAAATAGGGGTAAAAAAGAAAGAAGACAAAACAAAACCGAATTGAAAAGAAAGAACAAGGGCGACCAGTTGAATGAGAGAAGAACAAACGACAAAGGAATATCTCTGATTTTTAGCCGATATATGAAATCAGGATATGAGGAAAGGATGTTGTGCCTCTCTATGCGAAAGAAAAAAGGTCGTTCATCGTTGTGTTAAAAAGGTGTTCGTATGCAAGTTCATTTATTTTCTGATCTGCTTTATCTCACCCTACTCTTTTACCAAACATGAACACTTTTTTGCATCTACAACTGTGTTCCTATTATCAAAGATAAGCACAAGTACTTTAGTGCCTAATATACTTGGTTTATACTTTAGGCACAATCACCTCTGTGTGTGTGTATAGAAGAAAAAAAAGTCCGCCCTTTGCATACAGATCTATATTTTTAAAAAAATCTATAGGTCGATTGATGAATTTTATGCAATCAGCGAGAATTATAAGAGAAATTTTCACTTACAAATGCTTCATACATACATACATACATATCACTGGAAGGTACAAAATACCTGACTATACTAAAAAAGCATACGTGTATATAATTGTCAATTTTGTGTGAAGGTTTTCTCTTCAAATTGTGAGATGCGCGCTGGTCAGTGGTGCATTATGGGTAGATGTGTGTGTGTGTGTGTGTGTGTGTGCACACACACACATATAATTATTTAAAAAAATATAAAAAATTTATATATATATATATATATATATATAATTATTTTTTTAAAAATATAATAATAAAAAAATAATTATAATATAAGCTCTACTTCTGTATGGAGCACTTTTTAAAATAAAAATACTAAAGAACTCCGGATTATTTACCTAACGTGTTCTTTCCTATTTTTCTATATACCTGCTCACACACACACACACACACACACACACACACACACACACACACACACACACACACACACACACACACACACACGCATATATATGCGCAGGTCAGTGGTGCATATAAGATTAGTTAGCTCGCAATACCAATCTAGCTGAATTTGCCTGCAAACATTTAGATTACACATACACACATTTATAGAACGGGTGTTCTAACTCGCTCTATAGAGAAAAATGGAGTGTCGAAATAGTTCGATAGACCTCCATCTCTACACTTAGGAACGCGACTAAATAAAATGTTGGATTGTCAGCAAGTTGAAGACATAGGGTAACAGCCAGGGCTTGTGCTAAAATGGAAGGGAGAATGGAAAAAGAAAAAACAGAGCAAGTCCACTAGAAAGTATGGGTGGAGGGGGTGGTTAGTTGAGTGAAAGAAAGAGCACCTTGGTCGATGGACAAATGAGTAAAACAAGTACGCTTGTTCGCTGGTTGTGCTCAGCCGACCTAGCGACCGGCCAAGCGGCTGACTGGCTTCTTTCTCGCTGTGCTTCTAACAAATATACACAAGTCAGCAAGCAGCAGGCGGCGAAAGCAAGCAAGCGAGTGAGTGAGTGAATGAAAGAGCAAAGCGAATTGTCTTGTAGCAGCGACAGCCCTTTAAGATTTTGCTTCAGCTTGCCTCGCGATACACAAGAGAAACAGACAAGCCTCGTTTCCATTGTGGAAACGCGTTCTCCTGGATTTACTCCCCCCCCACCTTTCTATTTTATCTTATTTATGTCACCTCTTCATCTTCTTTTCTCCATGTTGTATTTTTCTGATGTATGTGTGAATAATACGCTGTGTCTTCATGTAGGCCTGTGTGTCTGTGCATAACAATATAGGTGGGCACACACATACACATACACACGCGCACTATCATTGAATTGTTTTTCACACACTGTGAATGCTAATTCGTATTAATTTAGGAATGTATATGTCTGTGTAGGGAATTAATTTTACTACTACGAAGACGACTAGTTCGCCATACGTGTATGAGCAATGAGACATGCAAGATGTATGTCAGGATACACTGTGTATGTCAAGTTGTCAGATATGTGCACATGTCATTATGAATATTAAATTATGAGCAGATTTATACATACACACAAAAATTCTGCATACCTAACGTTTATAAAGTTAACCATTATCATATCTAATCCCCAAAGAACCTGTAACACTCTACCTTGAGTGGCTCTTGGGGTTTGTGCAGGGGGGTGAACATTAGATAGATAGTGTGTGCCTGTGTGTATGCGCTCTGAAAAGTTCTCGGCCCGACCAAAAAGCTCTTATTAAAATTATTGTTTTTTTTGTCAGAAGTCTGTCGCCTCGACCCGAGAACTTTTCTGCGCCCCATTGTGTGTGTGTGTGTGTGTGTGTGTGTGTGTACATATATAGGTTTGTCCGCCATATAGTTTGTGTGTTAAATTTATTGTTTGTTTCCTTTCGATATCCTGTCCCACGAGATTTAGGATACTCTGTCCTTTCAGAAATTGATGTCCATTGTTATTTTTTTTTCTATACAGGCTATATTTACTTTATTATTTACTTCAAATGTAATTTTAATGGCTGCCCGTATTTTAGCAGGCGCCTCGTTTATTTTAAACAGTATTTTATTTCGTCTACCGGTATGCGTACTCGAGAGAACTTATGTACCCTCCGACATGTCTCCCTTTGTAGGAGGTACCGCCGTCTGATTCGGCGTGCTTTGACTGCTCTGCCACGAAAAGCTTCTCAATCAAGTAAGGCTTTATTTGTCTTGAATGCACACTCACTCGTTCACACTTTCTCGAAATGGTATAGTTTCATATCCAGAACGTAAAGGAAACTCTTTCTCGCACACACACACACACATATATATATATATATATATATATATATATATATATATAATATATATGGAATAAATCCTAACGAGCCAGGCTCTTTAGAATTTATTTCATCTATCCCTGCTCTACTTAGTGTATTGAGCACTCTACGTTTTAGCTTTATTACTTGCTTGGGTTTTTTTCCATTGAACTAGATTCTAGAAACTTAAGGCACTGGACGATTTATTTCGCCCTGTTCAGATGTTTCTAGTTATTTCTTTTTTTACCAATTTTTTTTTTTTTTTTATCTCGGGTACCAATTGGTTTTGATAGACTTACAAGTTGTGCTATCTGAGGTTTTTTACAACCGAGTATTACTAGTAGTTTAATAATATATATATTAAGTTAATTGATTTAAAATATGGTTTTTCCGCTACACTATTTTGTAAAAATAAAAATATCTATAAGAACGCCGGATTATATATCTTACTGTTCTTTCTTTTTATTTATATATACATAAATATATATATAAATTTTGGCGTTTAACTCTTTTCCTTCTTATTTTCTCAAATTGTATCGCGAAATATTTTCATGTCTTGATGAAAGTGAGGATGATGGCCGGCATAATCAGCTCAGGAGTTTCTCACTCAGTTGAAAATCTTTTCAAATTTAATCGTTTGGCGCAAGGCCACATTTTCGTTGCATAAGCGAATAGATTTTATTTATTTTTTTTTATTTTTTTTTTTTTTTAATTATATTGTTGACCCTCGTGCTACGGCAGGCACGCAACCAACGTTCGAAATAAATAAGAAAACAAGACAATAAGTCAGAAATTAAACTGCTCCTGATAACTTCGCTCTCTGCAATACCTCCCCCCCCCCCCAAGTAGTTTTTGTCTGGTTCATTGTCAGTCAACTCGCCTCCCGCCTCCCCCGCCTGTTAGGCTGTCTATTTCAAATAACTGAATTGCAACAAGCAATTATCTGTGTATCTTTATAATGCCACATTTCGTTGGAATGTCTTTCACATTATTTGTGACCAAATTACATGCCGCCGCCGCCGCATCCTCTTCCTCCTTATCTTCCCCCTCTTTATTATTATTATGTAGACTCTCTCTCTCTCTCTATTGCATCAACACGTGGTGATCCATTTTTGGATCTTCTTCCCAAAATAAGTTCATCCGACGTTGTCTTTTTTTTTGTTTTTTATTCCTCTCTTTATCTCGTTGCTTTGCACTGTGTATATATATATATATATATATATATATATATATCTTCCCTATCTCTGTAAGTACCTCCAAAGATTGGCTAAACAAAAAAAACAAACATACATGATAAAAAAAGAAAAGAAAAATGATACCCAAAACTTACTTAAAAATAAAAATTTTATCATCAAAATCTTTATTAAGAGGAAAGATCAAAGGGATTTTTTTATGTAAAAGTTATTTTTTTAAATCTTTTTTAGAACCTTCGAAATTTTGGTTAAAATATTGTTTATTCGCTGTCAACATTGTATCATAAATTAATGTGAAATTTTCGCTTTTTTTTTTTTTTTTTTTTTTTTTAAACACTGATTTGGAAAGTTTTGCAAAAATCATTTGTTGGATTTTAATGAAATTTTCAAGACATTTTTTTAGAAAAATTTTTGTTCTTTTTTTCTGTTAACCCCCCACTTAAGTTAATTTTATGAAATTTCGGGGAATCCTTTTCTGTATCGCTTAATATTTATATTAGTTATAAGGACAAGTCCTTGGAGAATTTAAATAGTGAAATATTTTTGCTCAAACAGGAAGCCCCAGTTATCGAAAATCTGCTTTGAATCTAAAAAAAAAAATGCAATAAAACTAAGTAATTATTTAATTAGAAAAGTTTTTAATTGCCTTTATGTATAAAATATATTATGAACACTATTTTCTTAAGAAAAACAATTTGATAAATAATGAATTTTTCAGTATCTGTCTATAATGTAAATGAAGTTTTACATGAATTGTTTTTATTTTTTTTCTTGAAAATCTTGTAGCAGTCAAGTGATATTGTTATTGAATTAAGTAAGACTACATTTTAAACTTTAGGTATCACTTTTCTTTGGAGGTACCTATATAAGTGCAATTAATTATTTGATATGAATTAAACTCGTTTAAATTCATTTCTTTTATGAACATTTAATTTTTCACTAACATTTTGTTGTTTTTTCTCTGTTGTTATTTAAAGAAATTTTTTTTTTTTTTAAATTTGACAAAAATCTGTTCTTTTGAAGCATTTACTTACAAAAATGAGATCTACAAATTTTGTTTTCTGCCCATGAAAGCATTTGAGATTTCTTTCTGAGGCATTCTTATGACATGTCTTTGTTGAAATTCCCTATTGATAATTGCAAAAACTTAACCCATTCATTTACACCAGCTCTTCTTTTCTGAAATGTCTTCTTAATGCATTGTCGCCATAATGCTGTAGACTTTGCTTCGTTTCCTTTGTGACTGAATTAAGGTCACTGGGGCAAGTGGTTCCTTCTGTGCACATGCAATCATTACATTCTGAATGTTTGGTAGAAATCAATTACACATTAATTTGCGACAGTTGATCATTTCTCAAAGCGAGGAACTTTAAAAAATAATTATATTTCCATTGCAATAATTTTATTTCTCTGCTGGCCACAAAAAGAAAGAATTAATGCAGAAAATAATATTTTCTTGTTGTTGTTATGACTGAAAAGAAATATATTTAAAATTTCAAATGAAGTGCCCCCTTACCAACCCCTCTCTCTCTTGTCAATTTCATGTGACCTGTTCGGTACAACAATTTCAGGAATAGTGATTTTGAAATTATAACATTTTTTTCCTAGCTTATTCTTTTTAAATTGAAAAGAAAATGATTTGTTTTAACTGATAATTAGATGATTTCCTTGTTTTCTCATAGGATGGGCAAATGGTTTTTGTCTGAGCTGATATCACTGAGTATTGAACAACTGAACTTTGATAGACTTTTAAAAAGGGTTTGTTTTTTTTTCTCCACTAAGTGCCATGTTGATGGCCAGGCTTATTTAAATGCAATTTACTCTTTTAGTTATTGCAGATGTTGTTAAAGGATTCTCAGAATAATACTTTAAAAATCATCAGACTAAGAACACTCAATTGATTGGCAGTAAATATTGACATGACATCAAAGTTAAGCATGAAACAGAATTTCAGCAGCTCATGGTGTTGACCTCAATGTCCACTTTTATATTTACATACGCTCCATCCCTGATATTGAGCACTTTTTTTTTTATCTAGCGTAACTTAAAACTATATTTTAGTCACATTTTTAAAAATCACTCGGACAACTGAATGCAAATTTTATCACTGTTACAATAGCATGTTTGTCATTGTAATTTACTTCTGAAGATGATCTTAGAAAAAGTCGAAAGCATTCAGTTTAAAAAAAAAAAACAAAAAAACTATGGCACTTTCCTTTCTGAATTTCATCTCAACACCAAGAAATTGATTAGACAACTGGAAAGGATCAGTATAAAAATATGTAGACACAATATGTCTATTTAATGAAACATGTTTAAATGAAGAGACGCTGCCTATATATGTATATACGTGTGTGTGTATATATATATAATTTTGTTTTTATCATAACATCTAGTATAAATCCATTTTTCTAGCTATTAACTCATATCTTCATGGGATCATTTTAAGCTGACGACACCTTTTTTTTATATATATATTTTGACCATTTTACTTTAACTTTGTATCTTTTTGATTTCAAATGAAATCTTTCAAAATATTCCATTCTATTTCGTTGAAATTTTCACGTTCGAAAATTCGACTTTATAATTATAGTTTAAGCCTAGGGGATTGAGGAGAAGAGGTCAGTTTAAACTCACAACAGGAGAAGCTGAGTTGAATTAAATTTCAAGATTTTAAAATGATGAAATGTCTCTGTACAAGTAATTTTTTTTTTCTATATATACAATTCCTGAACCGGTTAAGCAACCAGGGATTTTAACTTAACCTCAGTTTGATTTTATATCTAAAGAATGAATCTTGTAAAAACGAAGTGAAAATCAGCAACAATCAAAAATATAATTAAAATATATATTTCATGTTGGAATGTCAAAATCCCTTATTTTGCATTGTTCGTTTTATTGGCCGAAAAGGAACTGCTGTTAAATTTACCTGTTCTCATATAATCATAGGTTAGTGTGTCAGAGATGGCATCTAACTGTTGTCCTTTCAATCAGAATGCCGTTCCACCTCCTGACTATTGTGAACATGGGGTCAGGTAAGGACAAGAACAAAATAAACCAGTCCTGCAATATGTGCTGAAGGTGGTGGGAGGGGGAATCTTTTGCTCTCTCATTATTTTTTTATTTTTTTTTTAAACAAACCCTCCTCCTCCTCCTTTTTAAATACAAATCTATTCACCGCGGCAACAAGCATACTTATTTTTTCCACAGGGTTAATTCTCCCTCTAACTTTCACAAACACACATACCCATATATATATAGCAACAATCGATAGTGCTTTTCAACAGCCCTTTTCTGAAAATCTTAAATATAAATTTAACTTTAAATATAACGAAATTCAAAATTATATTCTGACCCCTTTCCCAAAATTAGATCGAACATAACATTTTTTTTTTTCTGTAAGGCCAACTTGGTTAAGCCAGAAAATTAGTCTCGTTCATTTTTACACACACACACACACACATTTATATTTTCTTTTTTTCTCTCTCTTTAACCCCTCAGCGCACCTACAAGAGTAGGCAAGTATCTAACACTGTATTAAAATAATTTTGATTTTAAAGAATTATTCAGAAAGTATCTTTGAAAACCACAAAAAATATTTCTTAGAGATTTTATGTATTTGTTTTTTTTTTTTCCTTAAAAGTGGTTCCAGATGATAAATGTTTTTCCCAATTTTGTTTCACCAAGTTCCTTCAGTCAATTTGTTTGTCTTCAAGGAGAAAATTTGGAGTCAGTTTGTTTTCTCTGGTTTCTTATTTTGATAGTTTTTTTACGAGTGTCACATATTGAAATTTAAAAAAATACTTTTGATGACAGTGCTGTTTTTCTTTTTGTATTTGTTTTTCCTTTTTAAGATATTTAAAATAGCAACTCATTTGTTGAATTGTATTTTATTTAGTGTCGTCTTTTTCTCTCTTATTTTTTTTATTATTATTTCTAATAATTACATATTATAATAGTTTGCAACCATTAACTCTGGTGTTAGTTGGAATAATATTTTCTTTTTTATCATATTTGATTCTTATTTACTGTCTAAAAACAGGATTTTAAAATCTCTTTGGAAAACATCGTGAAATTAACTGAATATCTGATGGTAAAAATTTAAACTTGAAATATGACAGCAACACATGACATGATAAAGAATTCAAATTCAAAATAAAGCACTAAAAAGTAAATACTTATCAAATTAAGACAACGAAGAAAGCAAAGATTTTAACCCTATTGAAATCAATTTTGAAAAATTCCACAAGATGTACGAAGAGTCTGAAAGTACAAGATGTTCCGAAAGTCTTGCCACCCCATACCAAAATACAGTAGTACAAAGCACATGTGCTGGGATTCAGTTTATTCACTTTCATTGATGCTGTCACACATCGAATAGGTCTGTATGAACAGCATCATTTTCCTGGCACAAAATGATGTGACACCATGTCCTGTGTGAAATTTTACGAAGATGTGCTTTGTTGATTGTTACAAAGGCTTTCCGAACGGCGTACTTCAACTAATGGGTTTTCTGGTATTGTTCATGTGAAGCTCTCTCCTTGATAATTCCCGTACAAAGTGTTGAAATTCAAAATTATGTTATGTAGAAGTGACAACAGTAAATAATATTTTTTTTTTTTATTTTAGTTTTTCTTGTTTTCTTAGATAAAAACAAGGAAAAACTAAAACAAAAAAAAAATTATTTACTGCTTGTTCATGATTATAAAAAAAATTCTCAGAATATATAAAAGTGAATTTGTTGGCAAAACACACGCACACGCATGTATTTAACCGTCAATCTTAAATCGATGCAGTGCTTTTAAAGAGCTATTTCCTGAGAATCTTACATGTCTATTTAATTGTTATAAACTTCAAGCTGTCTATTCTTTCTGCCTTTTTACACTGTTGTACCTATTTGTATGCCTT